CATGAGGAGCTATGGAATGATCTCGAAGATATATTTTTTGGTAAATAAAAGCAAGATGCATTGTACAGTGTGTCCTCATCTTAATTTTTTAAAAAGAGCAAACACGTATTTCTGGAAAGAGGAATAAAAAACTATTAAGGGACTGTCTTTGTTGGGGGTGACAGGAGGTCTGGGATGGGAAGATCAAGTTTTTGTTATACGCCCTTTCTCTGTTTGAATTTGTAAAAAAAAAAAAAAAAAGAAAGAAAAGAAATCAGTACAGTACACCAACACTTCTATTTTTAAAGATTTTATTTATGTGCCAGAGAGACAGAGGGCACAAAAGCAGGGGGAGCAGCAGGTAGATACGGGGCTCGATCCCAGGACCCTCGGATCATGACCAGAGAGGAAGGCAGACGCTTAACCAACTGAGCCACCCAGGCATCCCTAAACTACACTTTCAATTAAAAAACAGAAAAAAATTAAATTTGTTAATGATACACTGCCTTTGACACCTCTTCAACTGTCATCTTGAAGTTTTATTTAAATCTTATTTTATATACTACAAGAGTCTTCTGTATCTTATATCCCCTGCTAACATCTAAATCTAATCTTTGCATTAAATGCTTTCTTAAAAATACAGAATTTTAATTATCTCAAAAGGTCAAATCTGTGCTTTAATCAGGATAATTAAGAATGCTGAAATTGCTACCCTCTTACCCCAGTAAAACTGAATTGTTTTAGTAATTGTTTAAGTAATTGCTTGTAATTTCTACTAAGGAAGTAGAAATTTTCTTGACCTCTCAAGCTCAGTGTGAATTTAAATATGGTTGAACAGCATTTACCTGGACCTGTTCCAGATTAGCTACATTTCTTAATAGAACTATATTATCTTAACATGAAAAGATCATAACTAAAAAAAGTCTTAATATATTATTTTTCTTTCTGTTCAGTGTTTCTCAAAAGAACACTGTGCGTATTTAGGCAGAGGAATACATTTCAATGGGGTGGGACTATCCTAATCACCTCAGAAAATTTAGTATCCCTGGCCCACGGGCACTAAATGCCAGTATCACATCTGCAGACGCTGCTATGACAGAACAACTGACCCCACGTATTTTCAAATGCCCTTAAAGAGAGAACTTCAGGGGGAAAAGTACTAGGCAGTTGAGAAACACTGCTTATATGAATTAAAGAAGTGTGTGCATGTGTGCACGTGTGCAAGATACAAACATATTTCCAGAACTGCAATTCAATCTCTTAAAACAATTATGGGCCACCAGAAGATAAAAAAGCAAAACCAGTCACAACTCAGGTATTAATCAACCAGTCATCCAGTCCTGCATATAATGCTGTCAACAAATACTATGTCCTGACAAACCGTTCTTCAACTATTACAATGGCTTAACTTTTTAAATGAATAATTATTTTAAAATTCTTTTAGAACAGGGGCACCTGGGTGGCTCAGTCGGTTAAGCGGCTGCCTTCGGCTCAGGTCATGATCCCAGGGTCCTGGGATTGAGCCCCACGTCGGGCTCCCTGCTCGGTGGAGTCTGCTTCTCCCTCTCCCTCTGCCTGCCTCTCTGCCTACTTGTGCTCTCTCTCTATCTCTCTGTCAAATAAATAAATAAAATCTTTAAAAAAAAAAATTTCCTGCAAAAAAATTCTTTTAGAACAATTCTTCTATTGAAATGCTTCTGTTTAAATTCCCAAATAAATAACCTTTCACTGTACTGCACTGATCTCCTAAATAAAAGATATAAATCACAGTTTACAACAATTAGTAGTAGTCTACCTTCCTTCAAAGACTGTAGGCTCCTTGAAGCCAGGGACCATGATCATGATTGCCTGGCCCACAGTATAGGTATTCAATAACAATGTTGAGTGAGTGAGTGAGTGAGTGAATACTGACCCCGTCTAATACAATAAATAGTCCAAGAAGTTCCTATTATAATCAATTTTTATGTGTAGTAATGATCCTCACACAAATAAATCCAAGAAATTATTTCTGGTTATCCTATATTCTTATTCTAAGTTGATTTTAAGAAAATCAGTGAAGTAATCTACATTACCCAGATTAAAGCTAGCTTGTAAAGATTTAAAGAAATTTGAGATTTTTGACAGGCACTCCCTTATACTCATCCTTTACCACCCTTCCCTCCTCCTACTTAACTTTAAGCAAATGTTCAGGTAAACAAGTAAAAGTGGGGCATACTTCCAACACAATATAAAGAACAAAACAATACTGTTTACAGTAAGAAAAACTTACTTTGTTTCTATTTTACTTCTCAGAACTCAAGAAATCTGTTATATTGTACTTCATTCAAAAAGAAAGAAAATCTATAAACTAGGATGCATAAGCAACTTCTTTTGTAGGTTTCACTATATTCTCCAGAAACTCATCTTCTGCTGAGGTAAAAATTCAAAATATAAACTAGTTCATTTTTAAAACTAGTTCATTCTTTAAAATACATGCAACAATAAGGATTACACAAGCACTAAGTGTTAACAGGTACAGAATATTAAGTCTGAAACCCACTAACTGACAAATATTGTTCATCTTTGCCTTTCTGAAGCATGTGAATATCACAGTTTTACAGAAAAAGCTTACAAAGAAAAAAGCTAATCTCAAGGTTAGAAACAAGACATAATTCCTGGCTCCTAGCATTTCCAGTACTGTTTTTAAATTGCTCCAATAAATTCTTTAATTGTTAACCACTGCTTTGCTCAACTCATATTCGAATGTTAAGTAATAATGGCTAGGATACAATTTTAAAGAAACAATTGTTTCAAGTTACTGCCCATTTGACCAAATCACTAGAACAAACAGATTATTAAAACAAAAAACAAAAAAACCCCAAAGCATTTGTTATAGAGGGGATCAAATATCAGATACATTCTGTAACTGTTCAAGTAATGGAGATTACTTTTAAATGCATTTAAGTTATTGTGGGATTTTAATGCATGAAATAGTTCATTATTCTTGAAATCCAGAAACCCAGCATGTTTTATTACTGTTTCCCGTAGCACTGGTCAATAAAAACTATATACATGTTATAAAACTAATCACTTAAAACACAGTAAATTCCTTTTATATTGATAAAAAACAATGGTGTTTCATCCATTAAAAATACTTTTTAAAGTGATAACTTTATGATAGTGCATACACTCAAAAAAGTCCAACCTGCATGAGATTTCCATTTTCCCAGAATCACTAATCCTGCTTATAAATACTGCTCGCCAAGAATATTTACGGTAATTAGCCTTAAACCCATCAGTGGATAACGCTATCTGAAAAGTATCTTTCAGCAAAACTAGACTTTAATACTTTTCACCGGTTAAAGCAGACTTTACTTATAAAAGAAACACTTCCTTTTATGGGTACTTCAAGTATTCTTCTACAACAAAATAAATCTTTGTATCTAAAAGACCAATTAACAATGAGTTGGCGCTGCCAGGGTAGGTCAAAATGGCAAATTTCAACAATTCTTTAAAACAAGGATTCAAAGGAATGATGGAATCTCTAATTCTGCCATAGGTATTCACCAGACCTTTATTACCTTAAGTGGGGAGCTTTCACATTGCATAGACTCCTAGACAAGTCACCACTTGATCTCACAAAGTTTTTTTTTTTAAGATAATGAAATACTATCAAATAATTAGTGACAATAACGTGCATACATTAATGGAAAAATTTTTTGTATGGGTTCAAGTATCCTTGATCTTCTAAAGGAAAGATTTCTGAAGACTAAAAATTAAGTGAAAATGTAATCTAATTCTAAAATAGTCCACCCATTGTTCGGCCTTAGGCTCATTATCTTTCCAAAACAACTTCTCTATAATGATACAATGACAAGTTAACTCTAAATGTGACCTGTATAAATTGTCTTTTTCCTCCTCGAGACGACAATCTAACCAAAATCTTCACCACAGCCAGCAGCAGTTCCTTGAAATTTCAAACTAACTGGAGGGTTTGTAATCAGGTCCAAATGTAGACCCAAACTCTCCGATTTCTATCGAGCAAACAGTGCTTTTAACGTTCCAAATCCTGGTTAGAACGCAGTTACTGGAAAGCAGTGTCCTTGTTCAAGAAAAGAAGGAAAGGTCTGAAACTGCCCTGAGCACAGGTCCACAAGAACCTCAATCCTCAAGAACCTCCGTTTCACCAGGAGGCCAAATAGGGAAGGCTCCAAATAATAGGGGAGGTGGGGAGATAGGGGAGGAAGCGCAGAGGAAACCGTACTCCTCGAAGGGTGAAAGCAAAAGAGAAGCAGACTCTGGAAAGCCGCCCCACAGGATACAGGGAGAGCTCCTCTCTTCTACCGAGGAGAGCAACCTTCACCATGGAAGCGGTGCACCAAGCAAGCAAAGGCAGGAAGGGACAACCTCTGCGCCCCCACCCCAGAAGGTCTCGGCCAGCTAGAAGGGGTCGGCGGGGACTGTTCCTCTGAACATCAACAAAGGCCCCTTCAGTCCTAAGGCGAAACTCGAACAACAAAGGCCGGGAGACAGCGAGGACGGGGCCGGGGGCGGGACGGTTGAAAGCAGGGGGAAGCAAAGGAATCAAACCAGTGGGGGCGGAGGCCCGTCGGAGTGGGAAACCAGAGGCGCAGAGGCGGGGGGCGCGGTAATCCCCAGTGCACAATAAGAGGAGGAGGAAAAAGAGGACCTGGCCTCCATTCCTCCTTTACCCTCTCCCTGCGGAAAAGAGGACTTCAGTCCTCGGCCGTCTACATCTCCTGGGCCTCGGGGACCAAGCAGTCCCGAGTTCGGGGAAGGGAAGGGGAGGGGAGATTTTCCGCCCTGACCACAACTCCCTTCCCCCAGCCGGGAGCTGCCGACAACAACCGCCACAACGGCAGCCACACAAAGGCGCCTTCCTCGTACTCCCCGCTCCCGCCTGGGCGGCGGCGCCAACGATGCCAAAGAAGAGACGACCACCGCTCAGCCCCCAGGCGCTCGCTCGCCCTCTTCCCCCTCTGGTTGGGGAAAAGGGGGAGGGGACCCCCAGGCGCCCTCACCTGGCACAGCTGCTGACAGTACTCCGTGGCCGCTTCCACGGCCGGCACGCGGCTCTCCCGCAGCTGTCGCTCCAGCTCCTGGAGCCGCTCGCCCAGGCGCTGCAGCTCCGCGACGCAACCGCCTCCGCCACGACTCAACCTCTCCTGCTCGGCCTCTTCGTCCGCCATCTTCACACCCCGCTCCGTCGCGTACGCACCTGGGTCACGTGATAACACAATGCCACGTTCGGCGGGGTCACGTGCCGGGCGCGCTCGCACGCCGCCGAGCACGTACAAAGGGCCTGGTGGGGAGGATGGGGGAGAGGGGAGAGTGGCGCGAGGGAGCCCGAGGGAGGTGAAGGGAAGGGGAAAGGAAGAGGGCGGGGTTGGGGCGGTGCGGAAAACCGCGGTTTACTTACCCAGAGCGGGAAGTGGGCTGCAGCGGCCGAAAGGGGCGGGCCGGTGGAGGCCTGCTCTCGGTCACGTGGGCCCCGCGACTGGGGGTGGGGGAAAGCCTGGGGAGGGGCTGCCCTCTCGAGTGTCCCGATTCCGGCGTCCCTTTCCCCAGTCCCCGAAGTCTTCTACGGACATTTGCCCCAGTTCCCCAAGAGGATGGGTGAGAGAAAGCTCTGGGTGGGCAGGGGCAATGGCTGCATATGCGGTTGGCCTGTAGGCAAGCCAGAACAGGGAAAAGGGGAGAAGGTAAAACCTACCCATGGACCGCAAGCGTGAGAGCCAAAGCGGGACTACGAACTGTCAAAATTGTCTCTGCCTTCTCACCAGGCGGGGGAGGAGGGATCTAGTTCCTGAGGTGCCAGATCTCATCCCACTAGGCTCTCCTCTTCAGCCCCAAGAACGCCTCTCCCTTGGAAACACAATCTCTAGGGGGTGGAGGCAACAAAGAAAAATAACAATTGGATCAGAGCAGAATGAGGTTCAAATCCTCAGTCTGGAAAACGGAGAGAACTCATGAAAAGCACAGCTTAAAAGATTTCGCTCTATGAAATTGTGGACGTTGTAACCAGATGATTTTTAAACCATGAAAACATTTCTAAATTAAGTGATAGCCAACTAATCTGTTTCACTGTGATTTAAGACTTTCTCCTATACACTACAGAAATCACCATCACTGAAAACACTCTACATGAAAGCTCTTGAAAAGAAAGTAGGTCAAGAAAAAAAAAAAAAAAACTCCATTAAAATCACAACGAAGGAGGGGAAATTGATGCTAAAATAAAAGAGCAAGGTTACCAAGAATTGTAAATTCAACAGCATTTTTTTCCTGGTGCTGCAAATAGAGATGGCATTCTCAACCATATTTTATATGGTTACCTGAAAGGAATGAATATGTGACACTTGAACAAAACAGTAGAAGAGGTACAACAAAAAGTCAAGTCCTTAACCCTAATGTTCAGAATAATGAATATTTTGTTGGTAATAGAAAATTAGACAAGCTGCTTATCTTTCTTAAAACTGAATGGTCTACAGAAATTCAGAAACAATGATACTGATCAGGCACCTAGTCTTTTCACTATCATTCCAAGTGAAGTATATTTTTCTAGTACAAGAATTTAAAATAAGAATTCCTATTGTGTGCAGCATCCTCTTCCAGAGATTTCTAGCAGGTACAGAAAATATTCTAGGTAGTATGTTGTCCAGAATGAATGTTTTGTAATGCATCAGTGATAGCAACATCTGTTAAGTGCCATTGTATAAGGTGAGTGAGCACAACTGAATCCCTTATGAATAACAGTATCCCCACTGTGTAGTGAGATTACATATTAACAAGACAAGTTCTTCAAATATCTACTTATGGAAGAGTCTGGGGAGTATAAAAGGCTAAGGAGTGGGTATATTTTTTAAAGTATCACTGATAGCTGAAAAAGCAACAATTAAGACAGCTAATAGATTTTAATATTTGCAGCTCACTTTCCCAAGTGAAGTATTTTAGACACCCAAAGCCAGGTTTCTCCAATTTATGTTATTTTAGGATGATGGTGCAAATATAAAAAGTGAGAAATATGAAATTAGCCAAATGTACAAGTAAATCAAAAAATAGATATCAAAAGGTTAGCCAAGGCATATTTTCAGTTCAAGTATAATGGCTTATACCACACCTAATCTACAGAAAGAAAGAAAAACGGAAAAAAGAAAGGAAAATACATGAAAAGAGAAATATATCCAAATACTGATTTAAAAAAATATCCTGAGAATGTAGGTCATTCCCACCTCTTGCCCAGGATAGCCCTAAAACCAAGGAGACTTGATTAGCAAATTGATTCTGAGCACTCTTAAGGTCTTGCAAATGTCCCTCATCATGAACGTCTAAGTCCTTCACTTTTATCCGTTATCTTTGAGCTCCACCTCCCCATTCCTCTGTTTTAGAGCCTACAGGAAATGGAAGGACTAGGAGTGAGTGGTGTTATATTTAATCATCACTTACTGAGTATTTTTGCACATGTACTGCTTGGTTTGGGAAAATCAAAGGTGAATAAAAACTATTCCTGCCTTGAAGAAGCTTACAGTTGTGATGAAGAGTCACCTGCAAAGGCATTATTTACATGACAAGTGTTCTATTATGAAAATGCGTGTAGATTCAACTCAGAACACAATAGTCTGAGGTGCTAACTAGAATGTCTACAGAATCTCAACAAAGTACAGGTTTTTAATTAAATGAGAAGGGTTGGAAATACTCTCCCTTACGAGGTCGTGGAGATCTCAGAAATCTCATTCTTATCCATAGAAAACATGTATCAACAAGTACACGACTGGTTTGTACCTAAGTCCATTTGTTCTTAAATACCAAACTGTCAGTTCATTACAGAATCATTACACACAGACACACACAGACACACACACACACACACACACTCCTACTTACTGAGATGTTCCTGGGGGAATTCGGAGGCCTGTTCCATCGAGAAACAAGAATAAACCCTAGGGCCAAGAGAATCCTTCTCTCTGGGGAGCTCAGTGTCTGCACAGCGAATGCCCGTGCCCATCTTGGGCACAGCGCGACTGCTATGGACATGATCTAATCATATGGACTTTCACTCCCAAGAGGCTCTATTTCAGAGTAAATCTGAGAGACCGGAATAGACCCTTACCCCACTCCTGCGATCAATAAAGCTGGGGAAACCTTTAGGGGACAGGTGTGTTTGCTTTCAGGCCACCAGTGCCTGCCTGCTTCGCGAGTTGCCCTGCCTGCCCAGGCCTGCACCTCGCCAGTGCACATTTTTTCGCTAGAATTCTTGAAATAGCAGGGCCCAGGGGCAGGAAGGGAGCTGGGTTGTGCCTGCTAACAGAGCCAGAGGGCCGTGCCAGGGATGCAACGAGCGCGGTGTTTGCAGAAAACGGATCGCGGAGGGGTGAGGCCGGGCAGGTCCTTCCGACCCCGGGCGCAGAGAACCACCGCAGCCGGGCCCCCACCCCAACACGCAGGGAGAGAGCGCAAGGCCAGGAGGTGGCAGAGACAGCGCGCCGCTCTCGAGTGGCTGTTTCTCCCTTCCCCGGCTCTCTCCCTGGGCACCCGCGGCCGAGAAGGTCCCCAGGACCAGAGCCGGACCAAAGCTCCGCTCCGCTCCGCTGACCCTGTATGCGGGTCTCCAGTCGGCGGAGGCCAGACTTGGCTCCCCGGACCGTGGCCCATCGCTCGCTAGCCGGGCAGCCGCGGGAGCGCTTGCGTCCTCGGTCCTAGGGCCGCCGCCGCCGCCGCCCGCGCGCAAGCGACCAAGCCTTGGCCAAGGCGGCTTTCCCACCCAGCGCTGCAGATCAAGTCCACAGAGCGGCTGTGTCTCCTGGCCCGGGAGCAGCGGCCGCCGGGGGGCCTCCAGGCCCAGAAATGCTGGAGCCTCAACAGGGCGCGGCGGGGCGCTGGGCCTCCGGAAACCGACCGGGAGGGGATGCTCCAGTCTGTCCTGCGGAGGCCGCGATGCGGGCACTGCTGCTTGGTCTCTGGCAGGCTCAACCTGCTCTCTTCCAAAGAGCTGGGCCAACGGCCCAGACAGGCCGCGTCCTGGAACTCAGAGGTGAGGGCTGGAGCCTGTCTGGGGTTCGGTCCAGTAGAAAGTATCCCCAGAGTCTGGGAACCACTGCCGTGCCCAGAGACACAAAGAAGGAGCTTGGGTTTGAAGCTCTATTGTCATCGGTTAAAAATATACCACACTTTGACAAGGAAGACATTTTTCTTGAGAGAACAGTGAGGGGAGTCAAATAATATGTTGAAAACACGAGGCAGGTGCTGTTCCACATGCTGAAATGATTCCAAAGGCACCGGGACACAGGACCCACATTTAGGAGGATTAATTTTAGTCCTTGAGTTGTCCCAGAAAGAAGATGGACAGGTAATTAAATGAGGAGGGATATTTTTATTGCCTATTTGGATAATTTTTTTTCTTTCCACAGGAGGAAAAGCCACATATGAATGAGAAAGAGGAACAACACCTTAAGGAAATGCTTTTTAATACAGCCTCAATTATTCAAACTTATAAATTAACCAAGGTGAAAATAATCACTAAAGCAAAATAAAATCTTGGAAGCATGAAAATAGTATGCACTGTTTCTGTATAGAATCCTTGAGTTAGTTCACAGTCTCTCTCCAAAGAAGCAAAGAGAGAAATGTAGAAAGTGACTTTCTTTTCTTATATTTCTGTTTTAATCACTGTATCTCATTTACCTCATTGGAAATCCATCAGAGAGTATTACTTTTGTGGCATGAAGGGTCAGAAATGTTTTCTCTGCTAGGTTCTAGCGATTAAATAGTTATGAGACAGATTAACAGGAGAAAACAAAGTTCAATAACATGTATACCTCCTGTATCCTTGGAACAGACCCAGGAAAACTGTAAGCCGGGGTATGGTTGTTATGCAGATCTAAGTCCTGGTCTTTTCTCTTGATATGAGTTTCTAGAGATTGAATCATCCCCTTCTTCCAGACACAGTGAAGGATGGAGACACTCTTACAAATGGAGATTTCCCTTATAAGTATAAATGTCTCTTACAAAAGAGTAACTTCGGGGCGCCTGGGTGGCTCAGTCGTTAAGCATCTGCCTTCAGCTCAGATCATGCTCCCAGGGTCCTGGGATGGAGCCCTGCATCGGGCTCCTTGCTCCGCGGGATGCCTGCTTCTCCCTCCCCTACTCCCCCAGCTTGTGTTTCCTCTCTTGCTGCGTCTCTTTCTATCAAATAAATAAATAAAATCGTAAAAAAAAAAAAAAGTAACTTCTACTCAGTTCTCAGAGCTTACCTGTGTCTGCTGTTTCTTAAAAATAACCGGTTTAAGGGGCGCCTGGGTGGCTCCATCGTTAAGTGTCTGCC